CCAGAGCAGCTCCAGGAGGGATCAGAGCAGCTCCGGGTGGGATCAGAGCAGCTCCAGGAGGGATTAGAGCAGCTCCAGGAGGGATCAGAGCAGCTCCGGGTGGGATCAGAGCAGCTCCGGGTGGGATCAGAGCAGCTCCGGGTGGGATCAGAGCAGCTCCAGGAGGGATCAGAGCAGCTCCAGGTGGGATCAGAGCAGCTCCAGGAGGGATCAGAGCAGCTCCAGGAGGGATCAGGAGCTCCGGGTGGGATCAGAGCAGCTCCAGGAGGGATCAGAGCAGCTCCAGGAGGGATCAGAGCAGCCCCACGGCTCCAGTCCTGGTGGGAGGGTGAGCTCTGCTCCCGGCAGCTCCGGCTCCTTCCTGGGACAGGGATTCAGCAGCGTCAGGGGAGCTGGTTCTGCTTTACTCTGTGTGAAGAGGGGCTTCTGTGGGGTGTGGGGCCCCTGGGGTGGGCTCAGCCCCAATTTGTGTCACCTCACGTGGTGACAGCGCTGTCCTGCGGGCTCAGGGTGAGTCTGAGGCCTCAGAGGGCAGCAACACCACCCAAGGGAGGGCTGGATTTGGGAGATTTAAAATGGATATTGGGAAAGGTTCTTCCTCCAGAGGGATTTGGGGCACATTCCCAGAGCTGCAAGAGTGTTTGGACACCTCTCCACGGATGCCCAGGGTGGGATTTTGGGGGTCTGTGCATGGCCAGGAGCTGGATTTGATCCCTGTGGGTCTCCTCCAGCTCAGGATATTCCCTGATCCCACCCCCACGGAGCCCTCCCCGAGGACTGACCGCTGCTACGGGACGGGCTGCGGGGCCATCAGGTCGATGTCCGTCAGGTTCCGGGCGACCCAGACGCCGGCGGCGAACAGCCCCAGGTTCACCAGCAGGTTCCTGGAACAGGAAAATCCCACAAGCACTGAGGCTGGAAATGACTTCAGCCCATCCAAGCTGTGCCCCGTGCCCACCTTGTCCCCACCCTGAGCCCTGAGTGCCACCTCCAGCTGCCACCTCCAGGGACGGGGACTCCAAACCTCCCTGGCCACTTCCAAGGCCTGGCTGCCCTTTCCATGAGGAAATTCCTGCTGCTGTCCGAGCTGAGCCTCCCCTGGCCCAGCCTGAGGCCGTTCCCTCTCCTCCTGTCCCTGTTCCCTGCGATAACATCCCAAATCCCCCCCGGCTGTCCCCTCCTGGCAGGGACTTGTGCAGAGCCAGGAATTCCCCCTGAGCCTCCTTTTCTCCAGGCTGAGCCTTCCCAGCTCCCTCAGGATTCCCCAAACCCTTCTGAGCTCCCTCAGGATTCTCCAAACCCTTCCCAGCTCCCTCAGGATTCTCCAAACCCTTCTGAGCTCCCTCAGGATTCTCCAAACCCTTCCCCAGCTCCCTCAGGATTCCCCAAACCCTTCCCAGCTCCCTTCCCTTCCCTGGACACGCTCCAGGCCCAGAATGTCGTCCCTGGAGAACTGGACACAGGGACCGAGGTCCCTCCCAGCACTGAGGGACAATCCCTGCCCTGCTCCGGACACAGCCGGGGACAGACGCCGGGCTCCGGATCCCGATCCCAGCTCCGACCGCCATTCCGGTCCCGGCCTCGATCCCGACCCTCATCCCGACCCCGATCCTAATCCCGGTCGCGGTCCGGACCTGCGGAAGTCGTTGCGGTCGGTGGCGAAGCGGAACGCGCT